CGGCTTATTTATCATTCCTATTTCTCTGTGCCCTGGAAGAACATAATCTACTAGTGAAATTAGCTAAGTAAATTACATTCGCTGTTCAGGCTGACAAATGAGGTTATGAGTCAAAAGTGTTTACCACAATTGAAGCTTCAAGTAGAAACATAAGATTCTCAGACTGTCAAGTGATTTCAACTTTATATGTGCTGGTTCAACAACTTAATCTTTCTTGTCTCCTTTGGAAGAGGGATATATTGTAGAACCCAGAAAGTTCTAAACTTAAAATCACTTACAGTGACAGTGAACCTCTCGTGAAGGCTCATTGAAAGATTACCATAAGTTGCAGCTGTGTTTTGAGTGGTACTTTTTCAGCTAGAATTTAGGGGCAAATAAATGTTCCAAGTAAATCCAGTACCTAGCTGAATATTATATATATTGTAGGCTCTCAGTAAATATTAGATAAACAAATGGGTTAATTGATTAATTTTTCTGCGTAACCAAAAAAACCTTAAACCAGAGATTTAACCATTCAAGTGCCCCAAAATGTACAGTATTTCACATTTTATGATACAAATCTTCGTAAAACTCATGGATCTATTAGAGAAATACCTCAAAACTTTAATTAAATAAGGAGAAAATAAATGAATTTGTTGCCCACTGGCCTGTTTTCTGTACACCAGGAAGATAAGTAACCATTTGTTTGTCTGTTTGTTTATTTGGTGTTGGGAATTGAAGCCAGAGCCTTGCACACATGCTCTAGTGCTAAACTACACCCCTGGCCCCAGTTAACCTTTCCTTGGCCTTGAGGCAGCCTTATGCTCAAAGGCTCTGGCTGTGCCTACCCACACCTACTGGGAACCTTCGGTGGTGGTGGCGGCGGTGGTTTTCTTCTAACCACTGTTTCTTTCAACTCTCTGCTATGTTCAGTTAGTTAATATCTTGGGCCCCAATACTTCCACTCTTATATAGGATGAGAAGCCGAACATCAAAGTGTATTGCAATTACATGTAAACTATTACAAATGCATTTTTAGAACTTCTTCTGTGAGTCTAGTAAGACAGCATTAACATGGGGAAGGGAAGATGGGACATAAATTTTAATGGTGGGGTTTTCTTCCTGATTCCCTGCTATTTTCAGAAAAGCAAAAGGGGGAAATTAGTGTGAAATGCAATTGGGTATTAAGCACTCTCTCAAACATTGTCCTCTTTAATCTTACAAAGATCCAAAAAGATGTGGGAATTTATTCCCCATTCTAATTGTTTGGAAAACCCCCTCAGTTCTGCCACATGACTGTCACACCCTAGGGAGAGAGAGTAGCCATAGGTTTCAGACCAAGCAGGGGTCATTCCAAAGCCTGTGCCACCTGCCCTACACTGCCTTGGCCCAGGCAGCTAGTGGCACCTCTGAACGAAGTCTGTCACTGTATTAGCCACAGGAGAGACCTTGTTATGATGCTAGCCTATATCTAGGAGACAGAACACTTGAATTTCCATATGGGGAGAGGCCTCAGCAAAAGCATTTCAGAAGCTTCCTCGTGCATTCTTCAAAAGGTTTGAGCCTGGGTGAGGCATGGGAACTGTGGGGAGATGACATGGTCATCCATTCTGTGCCTTGTGTCTCACTACTATAGGAATAGGAATTCTTTGAGTACTGCAGAGTAAGTTCATAAAACCCATTATCCTTAGAAGTACATTTCTGTATTTGATGTTACGAATTCAAGTGTTAGCAAGCGCCCTCATGTATTGTTGCTGGCGGTACAAAATGGTACAGCCTCTACAGAGGGGAGGAACTGGGCACTGCCAAAATTACAAATGCAGTCACCCCCTGAGACAAGAGTCTTTATGGGAATTTATCCTACAGACAAACATGCATGTATCAGAAAGTACATGGTTATGTAATGAGATTATTCATGTGCATTTTTCATAATAGCAAGAGAAAAGGGAGGGATAAAGACCCAAAGGGAAACTAGTTAAATAAATTACGGTGCATCCACATAACAGACCATGATTTAGTGATGTTGAAAAGTGATAGGTTTCTTTTTAGTGATACAGAGTGGGTGGTAGATTGTTTTGTTATACAAAAATAGCAAGGTGCAGTTTCCATACAACGTGCTATATTTTCTGTAAGAGAATGGATAAGTTTATTCCTGTTTGCTTATGTTTGTATAAAGCAATTCTAGAAAGATGCCTGAGAAAGCAATTAAAGTGTTTACTTGTAGGGTGGTGGTAGTGGTGTGAACAGGGGGAGGAATGGGAGAAAGATACTAAATATTTGGGGGAGATAAAATATACTAAATACTTTCAGGGAGTGTGCCCACACCTGCAGTGTCATGGGTAAGCAAGGATGAAGGAGTAGCACACCTGTATTCTCCAGCAGTAACACTAAAGAGGATTTTGTAAAGGTGTTTGTCTCATCAGATCTCAGTGTAGGACTGGGGTTTTAGCGCTGGTAGTGCTTGCTTACCTTACATAGGGACCTGGGTCTGACCCCAGCACTGATAGTAAGGAGGTTACAACCCTGACATCTGTGAATCGACTGAAACTTTTCTGAAGCTTCTTTGTATTTTTATTCACTGTATCTTCTAAGTAGGAATAATAAGCTTCATGATTTAACTCCCCAAAGAGCACAGGACATTGTAACTTCATCGTATATACACTTACCGTAGGTGCAATCAACCATTTGTGCTCAACCAAAAGAAAATGGGGAGCAAGCAATAGCAAGTCAAATCAGAGAGTGAGCATGGAGCTTACGGCCCCGGGTTGGGTGTGAGATTGGCAATGGAAAAATGCCCTTTCCACAGCAGACCTTCATTTCTCATACGATTTTATTGCCAGGAAAAGTGTGCTGTGTTTGTCCTACAACGTGACCTCCAAATTCAAGCCAAGTATTCCTCTCCTTCTTCCTCACCTTCTCCTTCAACCAAATCCACACCAACCTCCTCATAATCCTTGTCCCGAACCAAATATACGAGATTTGATCTGATGCTGACTAATTATTTGAGCAGAGTGATACAGTGTTTCTGATGCAAAGAAAATTTGGGGCATAGATAGTACTTATGCTCAGTGCTGACCTTAGATCCTATCATCACCAGTGCCCCAAGTAATCAGAAATCCCACAGTGGTTTCTCTTTGGAGTTTTAGACATATCTCTTGGTTACAGTACTTCAGAATGTGGCAGACACTAAGTCTAACTGAATTCAGCAAATGTTTCTTGAAAACTTACTGTGAGTCTAACTTTCTTTGGTTCAAAGAAACGTGAAATAATTTCTGCAAATTGTAGTTCCATTGTCAAGAGCAAACAGACACCAGCAAAAGTGAGTTAGAACAGCATCATAAATGAATCATGAACTGATGCCAAAATTTATAGCACAATGAGTGGTCAGAAAGTATAAGACAGAACCTTTGTTTATCAGCAGATATTTAAGTGGCGCTACATGCCGGACACCGTTCTCTGAAACTCATTACAATCTTCCACGTGTGCATGGTGGGGCGGTATTATAATTTTAGCTGATGATTACATTGAATCTCCTCTTGCTCTTTTTAAATAAAAAGTTTTGAGGTTTGTTTTTCAATCACAAGATGCAGGTTCTATATTTAAATCCCAGCTCTGCCATTGAAATGTAGTATATTGGGCAAGGTACTTTCTTATTTAAATTTATGTTCCTGAACCATAAAAACGGGGAGAAAATTTAACTTATTTAACTGACATTTTAATGAAATAATGTATGTAAAAAGTACCTGAAACTATGAGTGGCTGGTGCTGGCCAGTCCCTGCCTCAGGTTGTGAGACCCACGTGAAGGTCTTCCCTTTGCTAAGTCCTTCGTACACTGATGGACACCATATTTTTTACCTGGCTTTGTAGCATTGTGTGATAATTGTGCAGGACTTTTCCTTTAATGACAGAAGATGTGTGATGAACTAGGCAGTCACACAGCCCTGAGTCTGGAGTTCCAGTTCAACCCATGTCTATCACTTTGTGGAAGATACTTTGGCTTTTGGGTTTATTTTCCTTATGGGTAAAATAATGTCCATAATGTTCATCCCTCCACGAGCTTATCAGGAGGTGAATATCCAGTACACAGTGAGTGCTAAATGGATCCTGATCCTCCCTCTCTAGTTACTCCCTGTACTTGTTTCCTTTGACTCTTATAACAGATTGTCACAAGCGTAGTTACTTAAACAACGTATTACCTTAAGGTTCTGAAGATCAGACCTGAAAGGGGCCTCACAGCTAAATCCAGGGATGGGCAGGGCTGTGTTCCTTCTGGAAGCTCTGAGGAAAATCTGTCCCCGCCTCTTTCTTGGAGTTCAGATTCTGCTGTTTTCCTTGGCCCACGGCCCCTTCCATCTTCAAAGCCAATGACTGCTTCACTCTGACTTCTGCTTCTGCCCCTGCGTCTCCTTTTCTCACTCAGCACTCCTCCCTTCCTCTGTCCTGTATAAGGACTCACTTGAGTCATCCAGGATAATCTCCACATCTCAAAACCTATAACTGAGTCATATCTGGAAAGTCCCTTTGTGCCACGCAAGGTGACATGTTCACAGATACCAGGGATTAGCATGTGGCCAGATTCAAAGAACCCTTCTTCTGCCCACCACTCCCTTTAAGCTTTTCCTCATGTGCAAATCTGAGCTCATCCCCCTAGGCCCTAAAACCAGCGCTGTCCTCCAAGGTTTCTTACACCCAAAGGCCAGCCTCACTGGGCTGTCCAAACCTCTGGTTGATGGCACATAAATTCCAAGAGCAGAGGACAAGAATGAAATTAAAGACACTTTTTGTACAGCTCCCTTGTTACAGATGAGGAAGAAGAAACTGACCGTAGAAGACAGTTGCCTATTTAGGATCCCATTAGTTGCCTCAGACCACGGGTGGAAATTTTAATTTCCTGTTATTCAAGTCAGGACTCTTTTCCAGTACATTATGATTCACATATCTTATGAAGTTGCGTAGATTATTCCTTTTCAATGTTTGACAGCTCTTCATTCTTTATTTCTTAATGGCAAAAACACTGAGCTTACAGATTATATTAATCAGATTCTCCTGAGAAACTGACCCAATCCGAGATAAATGAAGAGATTTAGGATGGGAATTGACTGATGATTACACATGCTGAGAAGTCCCACGGTCTGCCCACAGCATGACAGAGCGCCAGGAAAACTGGTGGTTTCATTCAGTCTGAGTCCTGGAAACCTGGGACAAATGAAGCTAGTCCCGGTCTGAGTCTGAAGGCTCAAGAACCAGGAACACCAGTGTCCCAGGGCAGGGGAAAATGGTGCCAAGCTGAAATGGAAGCAGACTCCCCTTGCTTGGCCTTTGTGTTCTGTTCAGGCCCTCTGTAGATGGGATAATGACCTCCTGTCTGAGTAAGGACGGGTCTTCTCTGCTCAGTCTGACTTTTCAGTGTCATTCTCCTCCAGAAGCACCTCATGGACACAGCCAGAAATAATGCTTCATCCAGTTTCTGGGCATCCTTTAGTCCAGTCTAGTTGGTGCATGAAATTAACCATCACAGGAGGCAAGAAAAACAAGTCGGTTTGTTTCAATGACAGTATTTATCATATAAAATTTACCAGCTGGAAGATTTAGATTATTAATTCAGATTGAGTCTCAGTTCTTATATAGGACAGGAATGTTAACATCTGCCCTACTTTCCTGCAAGAGCTGAGGTGAGGATCTCTCTTGTGGGCTTACTGCGTGCTTTCTAAGTCATAAAGAGGTGTAAAATACACAGGGAACTATTCCACCCAGGTTGGGGCTTTCTCCAACTCGTATTCTCCAACTTTTCCTAATTCTTGTTTTTGTGGAACAGGGAATCGAACTCAGGACCTTGTGCTTGCCAGGCAGGCGTGGTGCCACTGAACTACATCCCCGGCCCTGTATTCTCCAACTTGTATTCTCTTTTCCTGTTCATCCTGCCTACCATCATCAGACTAATAAACCTAAGATGTTACCATCCTATTTTGAGAATACATAATGGCATGCTATCAACTGCCACACCAAATCCGACCTGCACCCTTAGTTTTCGCATCTTCCATTGTCTCATTCCAGCCTACAAAGCCATTTTAGTTTCCAGTATTGGTCAGAACATCCCCCGGTCCTCCAGGAAAATGCCTTTCCTATCCACTGGGCCCTTCACCCTTCTGCCTTGGAGCTAATTATCTCCATTCCTTTGCAAAGCCTCCTGCTCTCTACCAAGCATTTCAGTTCAAGGCAATGCACTTTTAACAAAGGCCTCCTATGAGGAAGGGGCCGTGTTAGCAAGGCCTCACATGCCCTCTCTTCTTTCAGTATCCATCTCAGATCCCACCTCCATCAGCAAAAATCCTCTTGACTCTTCCAGGACACAATAATACCCTTTTCCTTGAAATTCCAAAGCATTTCAAATCACTACCACCAACTTTAGCTTATTTGTATACAAAATCTATGTCCTTTTAATTCATGCAATGATTTTTTTAAAGTCGGAACCATAAGGGACCACCATTTCATCCAATTCTTCACTTTAAATAAGAGGACCCTGAGATATGTATCCATGCAATATTTACTGAGCATGTACTATGTGTCAGGCCTGTGCCCAAGGAATATAGTAGTAAAACATCATCTCTTGCACTGTTTTCCTTCTTCTTTTGCAGTGCTGGAATTGAACCCAGGCTCTTGCACATGCTAGGCAAGTGTTCTTCCACTGAGCTCCATCTCCAGCCTTATATATCACTGTCCTGGGGCTTATATGCAGTCTCTGGAACTTCCAAAGAGAAGGGGTGGACACAGACCAAAGAGAGTGTATGACATGGGCAGAGACAGAAACAAGAAAGAGAAAGAGACTCGCGAAACTGCATAGTGTGTCTGCAGCACTGGATGCCTGAAAGCAGGGAAGGTGGTAAGTGGAGAAGGGAGCTAGTCTCTGGAGAGTCCTAAGTGTCAGGTTAAGACTTTAAAGTGGGTCCTATAGGCTCTGTCAGTAAAGTGACAAAATCAACTTTGGGTTTGAGACATTACTTTGATGACAGTGTGGAAGTTGGAGCCAAAGTGTCTTGGGCTTTTTAGCTGATGCCTCTCTAAACCAGTATTTTGAGGTTCAACATTTATTTAGAAAATTCGGAGAGAAACTCATTTTCTTTTGGTAAAAATCCTATTCAGAAACAGATTAAGTCTTTTAGCCCAAGCAGAATCAATTGTTTTAAAAATTAGTAAAATTGTCCCTTCTTTTCTGTAGTACTCTTTCTATCATCCGTTCTATTTTATGATTTTTCTAAACTAAAGCACTTTGGGGGAAGCATATTTAAGGATTTACAATTTAGATAAGACCATAAGCCCTCCTTCTTATGGTCAGCACTATATGATGCATCGTTTGGTTTTAAAATGTCAGCAGAATGCAAACTTTCCATTAATATAGTCACATATAATCTTTGGGAAGAAGCCCCAGTAAAGTAACTCTGCTGACCGGGACTTTTTTCCTCCTCCCAAGAGCGGTCTACTTAGGCCTGGTGGCCAACAGACTCCTAACGACCTCCATGACAACCTGCTGGTGCTCGCGCCTTTGTGTCATTCCCACCCTGCAATGTGGGCAGGACCTGACCCCAGAATGTGGTACGGTGATGGTTGTCACTCTTGTGACTGATATGACATTACACAAGACCTCACCTTAGCAAACTGAGCCAGGGGCTCTCCCTGTGGGCTTGATGTCACAAGCAGCCATGTTGCAGAAGTCCCTGTGAGAAGGAAACCACGTGTGACCCATCACACTAGGGAGCAGCTTCAGCGAACAGCAGAGAGCCAGGCCTGCAGTGACAGAAACACAGGGAAAGAAGTTTGGCCAACACACTGAGTGGGCTTTAAAGGGGTCCTTCCCTGGTTGAGTCCCAGGTAAGAATCCAAGCCCACCCACAACCTCACTGCAGCTATGCAGACAGAGGACCTGGCCAAGCTATGCCTGCGCTCCGCCCCACAGATGCAGTTGGAGTTATTAGGATAAGTGTGCATTAGACTGCATAGTTTGTAGAACTTTATTACAGAGCAATGGGAAACTAATAAACATTCAGCAATCCTAATCCAAACACCCCAAATTGGAAATGCTCCCAAATCTGAAACTTTTTGTAGCTTGCTCAAAAAGTTTCAAGTTTTAGAGGACTTCACATTCTGAATTTTTAAATTAGGGATGCTCAACCAGTAAAGTCCATGCAGATATTCCAAAATCAGAAGCCCCAAAACATTTCTGGTCCAAAGCATTTTGGATAAAGCTACTCAACCTGTATAGCATGCAAAATTGAAGCTATTCACATTTGGCTAGCTTTTAGGGTTGAGAACTGAACTAACTGGCACCATATTTCTGATTAACTTAGATATTTTGCTTATAGTCTGAATCCACCAACCATATTTTCTTGTCTTCATAGACTGAATCCATCCCATCCCCTGTCCGTAGCCCCCTTGCCGGTTCACCCCTCACCCAGCTCCTAGCTCCACCTTGGGTAGAAATGGAGGCAGAAACATGCAGGGGGCACTGTCATCATTCAGGTGAGCTCAGAGGGGCCTGGCACACAGCAGAGGCAGCTGGGAAAGAAGAGAGGTGACCAGTGCAGGGAAGAGCTCAGAGCCTTAGGTCCTGTACCACCATCACTGTACATCGTGGCCTTGCCTGGGGAATGCTCATCATGAAACCCCTAAGGCAGGACTGGCAGGGCTCAAAGCAACTTGGGAAATGAAGAGGAGGTTCAGCAGCATTTCAGTGTTCATGGACATGGGTCCACAGGTATTCACTTTACACTGTGCTTTATAATTTGTATGTCCAAATGCCACAGATTTGTGTATAATCTATAGATTATAAAATTTGTGCTGTAGAGTTAATAGTGGAGAATTTCACATATAAACGTTAAGTTCTCCCTAAAGTACTTCATGACCATTCATCTCTTATAGGACTGTCACTTTCCAGAAGAAGGTTCCACCATTTGAAGGAACAGAATTCCAGTCAGACACAAATAATGCTACCAACATGGGCCACGCCCTGAAGCTCTCATTCACTGAGTTTGTTTCTGTTGCCCGTCTTCTGTACCCCAGGTATAATAGAAGATAAGAGCAACCAGGCACAGTGACACATACCTATAATCCCAGCTATTCAGGAGGCAGAGGCATAAAATAGAAGAGGGCTGGGGTGCAGCTTAGTGGTAGAGTGTTTGCCTGAGGCAAATGTACTACCAGAAGGAGATGGAGAAAGAGGAGGAGGAGGAGGAGAGGGAAGGAGGGGAGAGAAGGAAGAGGGAGAGAGGGGAGGGTTAAGGGAGGGGAGGGGGAGGAAGCACAGGAAAAAGAAGGAAGAGCAGGAGGAAGAAGGGCGCAGGGAGGAGGAGGAAAGGTGGAGGAAGTGGGAAGGAGGAGGACGTGGGGAGAAAAAGGAGGTAGAAAAGAGGAGGGTGGGAAGAAAGTAGGAGGAGCAGGAGGGGGAGAGGGGAAAAGGAGGAAGAAGAGAAGAAGAATGAAAGAAAAAAGCAAGAGACAAACAAACCAGGATGAGAAGAAAGAAAAGAAAAACCCAACCGAGAAATTCCTTTTCAAAATGCTAAACAAGAGAAAGACCTCGGTGAAAGAGGCCTGCAGGCGGAGCAGACCGAAAGCTCAGCGTTCTGAAAGACAGGTGGGAGCCATTCACTCTGCACGCAGGTGAGGCTCGGTGAGGCTGAGCTGAATGCAGAGCTGCACGCAGGGCCCACACAGGGCTCTGTGTGCCACTTCGGGCCGGGTGGCCCCTCGCAGAGCATCGCCAGCCTCCAGCGCCTGCTCAGCTCTGAGCTCCTTCTTCATTTCAACATTTTCAACCAGTACTGACTGGGCAAAGTCATCTGCTAGCTGCGGGGCCGGCAAGATGCCAGGCTGGGTCAGACACAGCCCTGGCCCCAGGGATTCTTGGGTTAGGGAGGGAGCGGAACTGTCTACATCATGGATCTCTGGTGAATTGAAAAAGCAGATGTGTGTGCCTAAGAAACCTCTAATCATCCTCCGATCTGGCCGCATTCTCTTCGTGCCCAAAAGCTTCACCAGGACAGGGTCACATGTTCACCTACCTTCTTGCCCTTGGCCCTACTGCCATCTTCATCCCCCTTATATGAGTAGAAAAGTTTGATTCTTGCATTTTGCCATTCCTTATTATGTTTTTGCATAACAGTTGCCAACAGGACAATATTCCTGAGTAGATCACACAAATCTTTTTCAAAATAACAGGTGCTACCTCCGGGTTTTGTGTATTATCTTTCTAAACACTGCGTTTGTCTTTGTTCCCAGAACTATGTACTACTAGACTGATAGTTTGAATGATTTTTCAAGAATAATCCCTAAATCCTTTTCTTGATCTGTGTGCTAGAGGATTATTTTCTGCCTAGACACATCACTGGACTGGGCTCCTTGCTCCACAATTAATTATTAGTTTGTCTACATTAAATTACACTTGCCATCTGTTGATAAAATCACAAAAGTCTCAAAGCCTCTTCCATTGCTGTCGCTGTTTGTTGTTGGTTTGTTCTGTTCCTATCAGCTGAATCTGCTGCAAACTAGGAGATTTGGTTTCCAATTTCTTTTCCAAGTCTCTTGTCAGTAGTGGAACCTCTTTGTGAAGATTTTCTATAGAGTAGTGTGTGTGTGTGTGTGTGTGTGTGTGTGTGTGTGTGTGTGGTTTGGCACACTTAAGACAAAAATCAGTATAACCAAACTTTCTGGAAAGAAGAATTAAAAGAAGTGAAAAGTGATACTGAACAATCTCACAATGGATCATAAAAAATGGATTCTAACATAAGAAAGAATAACAGTGGAAATAAAACCATATTCCTCAACACATAAGACAACAAAATCAACATAAAACAAAACAGTATCACTAATAATTTGAATCATAATGTTCCAATTTCGATGTGGAAGAAACAATGCATTGTTTTAGTTTCAATTACACAATTGGATTTCTATTTGATGCCTAATGCTACAAGATGGGCGACACCTCCAGCGCCTTCAATGATGACATCCTGGAGTCTCGCATGGGCCAAGGCGTGTGTTAGTTTTCGGGGCTGCATGATAAACAGGACTGGATGGGTGGCTTTAACAACCAACATTTATTTCCTAACACTTCTGGAAGCCAGAAGCCCACTCTGAGGGTGGCAGCAGGGTTGGTTTGTCCAGAGGCCACTCTTCGGCTTGTCACGGTCACCTTCTCACTGTGTCCTCACCTGGCCCTCCTCAGTGTGTGTGTGTGTGTCCTCATTTCTCCTGGTAAGAGCACCAGTCATGTGGGGTTAGAGCCCACCCTGATGATATCACTTAACTTCCACAGCCTCTTGACGGTCCCGGTCTCCAAATACAGCCACTCCGAGGTCCTGGAGGTTAGGACCATTACGTGGATGGGGGGAGGAGGGGCAACTCTGCCTGGAACAGCCTTGAGCAGCATGGCTCCTTCTGGCCGTGCACCAGCCGTCTGCACAGAGACAAGGGGCTGATCTCAGGCACTGGGGCGTCATGCCCCTGAAGACCCACTGCTTTCTTCTGCCTGCCAGCAGCGTTGAGGTCTCCAGACGCATCCCCAAGACAAGGACTCTCTGGTGCTCATGGCCCCACATCCTGAGGACACCATGCTGCACATGAGACGCCACCCCATCACCACCCTGCACCCCAGGGAAACAACAGAGGCTTCTGCTCTTCCAACGCCCCCAGCCTCTGCAGCTGTCATCCAAATGGGCAATTTGTCTTCCTGGCTTCAAAAGGACCCTGGCTGCCTCAGACCCTGTTCTCCTTCTTAGCTTTTTCTTTCTTTGGTACCAGGGATCGAACTCAGGACCTTGTGGTTGTGAGGCAGGCACGGTGCCACTGAGCTAAATCCCCGGCCCTCCTGTTCTCCTTAAGGAGTTATCCCTTTCAGGACAAAAGCCTGGAGATCCAATAGAATCCTCCTGCTTCCTGCCTCAAGCAGGTTGCCCTGGAATGGAGAAGCACCTGCTTGAATTGAAACAGAAACTGCAGTTAAGATTATTCAGTTACAATACCAACAGCATATTTGTGTTTTTCTAATTACCTGTGTTCTAAGAGTTCCATTTAGTGTTTTATAGTTGTATAGTTTTCTTTCTCAATCAAGAATGATGAGGTCTTGGGCCAAGGATTTAGCTCAGTGGTTCGGGCACCTGCCTCGAAAGCGCAAGGTCCTGAGTTTGATCCCTGGTACCAAAAAAATAAACAAGAAAAGAAAGATTGTGTTAGGGCCAGGGATTAGCTCAGTGGTTCTGCCACCTGCCTTGCAAGTGCAAGGTCCTAAGTTCAATCCCCAGTACCAAAAAAAAAAAAAAAAAAAAGAATGATGAGGTCTTATAGAAATGGAATATATATTAGCAAATCTCACGATAGCAAGAATTTATTTGCATTAAACTTTATACTGAGGAAACAAAATAAAATATTTATCTTTGGATATAAAACACAAAAGTCAAACAAAACAAGACCATTATTGCATCTGAATGTCCTTTTTAAAAAACATGTTTTTCTAGGGCTGGGGATTTAGCTCAGTGGTTTCATCACCTGCTGCGCAAGCACAAGAACCCAAGTTTGATCCCTGGTACCCCCAAAAAACCCCATGTTTTTCTGATTTTAAAAAATTGGATATATGTTCTTGGTTAAAAGCTTGAAAAGCAAAATGTAAAAGTTATCGGTATCCCTACAACCTAGAAATGGCCCATTAATTTTAGATCCCTATTATATATTTAGACAGTCTCTATAACTAGTTGCTGTAGATTTGTTTATTCATCAATTGTGTGTTGATATTTACCATGTGTAAGGGAATTCATACAGGATTCTGAATTCCTTACAACAGTGCTGGCTAATGTGGCCCAGGCCTTTCGGGGCCCAGGTTGTTCCCCAAGCTCTAGTTAGCAGTGATTGGACAAATACCTGTCTCTGGAGCCACTGTGGGCAGGTAAAGGCAGCGGGTCTAAAAAAGACTTTTCTCCAAGCACCCCTTCTTGGCCCAGTCCGTTCCCATTGAGCACAGAGGAGGTGAATTGGGCCAGAACATTTTGGGGTAGCCCCGGGAAAGGTGGCTTCTCAAGAGAAGGGAAGCTGGGTGGAAAAGCCCATCCCAGTCCAGACGGATCATGTAGAACCATGGCGGAGGGCCACTTGATAAGAGCATCTTTAACATTTTCTATTGTAAAAATACACAATAAAATAGGACAGTTATGCACTTAAATGTACCGCGAGTTGCAACCAAGCTGACTTTTAAAATGTTTATCTCAAACTGCCAAGATTCCTTTAGCATTTCCCAAAGGCAGGGAGAGTTACTGTGGCTCCACTTTCTCTAGAGAGGAGAGATAAGAGCCAGGTCTTGCATATATTTGGAAGGCCCTGTGAGTGTGGCCTGTGACACCGAGCGGAGAAGTTGGGGAGGACAGTGCCCACGTAAGAGGATGTTTGTTTGTCTGTTTATTTGCTTCCCTTCTGCAGAGACAAGAAAGCTCACCTCAGGAAGAACTCAGTCTGTGCTGGGCACTGGGCTAGCCCAAGCCCAGTGCCCACCATTTAACTTTGCCACACCTCTTCTACAGAGAATGTGCTTGTCCTGCCCCAGAGGAAACCCAGATGGGAACTCATTGGTCCGTGTCATACAGTCCCAAAGGGGGGGCGCTGGGACGTTAATTCAGGTCACTCTGACGATAAAGTGTATGCTTTTTAAAAAGAATTCCCAGTAACTGAGGTAGAATAATAAAAACGCTCGTCAGGGTGGGGTAGGAAATAGGGTGGAATCCCCTATCACTACTGTAATGTTTCAATTTTGAAAAGCATTACTTAGGAAGCTAATGAGTTACTCTTTGGCTCCTTTAGGAAGGTTATCAGAGTCATTTGTTATTGGGAAGTGGAAAGCATTGTGAAAATGAAGAAAAGAACACAGAAATCAGTAAAAAGGAAAAGTAATTATTTTTGTGTCTATTCAATAGCTCAGAAATTTTGCTGTTGCTTTTTTATTCTTTAATGATTTTTATGAGTGAATCAAGATATAAAGAAATAGAGGAGCTCTTAAGGGTATGATGAGAATTTTTAAAGCACAAAACACTGGCTTTTATTTAATTAGAAAGATTCCTTACAGTCTAAGATTTTAGAACTATACTACTTGATATTTTTAAGGCACTTCAAAGTTTTAGAATAATTATATAAAAATATAAAATCATCCCTATTAGCAATGTTTACATTTAAAACAAATTTAAAATTTTTGTTTGTTTCTTTGAGACAGACTCTTGCTAAGATACCCAGCCTGGCCTTGAATTCAGAATTCCACTGCCTCAGTCTTCCAGATTTCATGTGCAATTTAATAGTTGCTGGCTCACTTAATACTTTTGTTTGTTTGTTTGTTTTGGTACGGGGGAATCTAACTCGGGTCCTTCTGCTTTCGAGGTAGGCAGCTGAATCACTGAGCTACATCCCCGGCCCCACTTAATACTTTGTAAGCCTCCATAACTATGAGGATGTTAAAGAAAATGTCTTATTAAAACATCAACTGGATTGTTTTCTTTTCTAACAGGAAACAGTTCAGAATGTAATATTTGCTTCCCTGCATTAAATAAATGCCTCGCTAGGTTTTATCATTTTTTTCAGTCCATGCTTTAAAGGCCCAAGACATAATGGAAATGTCAATTTTTCTGTTATAGTAATGGAAATTTTCAGTAGCCATCACCTCCTCAGTGACCCAGGCTACTGAGATGGGTCACGTAAGGGTCTCATGTGAGCGCCACTCCGAGGACAGGCTGATCTTTCTGGACCCGCTCCTGTTTCACCTCGATCCCTTAACCCTTCTGGGCCCCAGGGCTGCTGTGTAGAAATAGAATAATCCGCTCCCTACGTGTGTCTTCCAGTTACTGGGAGGAGTTGGCTTGTTAGAGAATAACTTCCTCCTGTGCCAGGGGGCTGGGTCTTCAGTGGGTACTCAGTAAACGCTCAAGGGACAAATCCATCCACCGACTCTAAAAATAAACCAAGCATCTGTAGACCTCAGCTCCCAGCGTTGCTAACAACCATTAACCTTACTACCATCTGGAAACGGGGTTTGCATTGGTGTGCTTTGTATTCCCAGAGTCACAAAAGAGAAAAACGGGGGCCAAAACCTAAAACCAGACATGTGAGATGCAATCTAATCTTAATTTCAAAATAGAAATAAGGTTATTCAGTGAAAAGTGCAGACAATGAAAATAAACTTCAATTTAACAATAAGGGCACTTAAGGAAGACAGAAGTAGAACAAGAGAAGAAAGGAACTATCCCACTCAGAGCTCAGCCTAGCACAAGGGGCCAAAATCTACTCCATGTACTGACATTGCTGTTTAAAATGTCTGCCTTAGCTGGGGGTGGTGGCCTGCTCCAGTGTGCCTACTACTCTCTACTCAGGAGGCTGAGGCAGGAGGATCGCTTGAGCCCAGGAGTTTAAGGCCAGGCCGGGAAACATGGTTAAGACACTGTGTCAATAAAGTAGGGCTGGTGATACAGGTCAATGAGTAGAGCACAAAAGGCCCCAGGTTCGATCCCTAGCACAACAAAAATAAGATAAAAATAAACTAAAATGATAAAATGCCTACTTTGGTATTTTTACATTGCCTGAAATGTACAAACTGTAGGGAGGTAGATTTTATTCTGGATTCAGGAGGACATTCTCAAAATCATCTCATTTCAAGACAACCAGATACTTTGGTACTTTGAAAAGGAAGTGGGCCCTGCCACAAACAAAAAGCAAATAAAAAATGCTGGAGATGTAGCTTGGTGGCAGAGCATGTGCCTAGCATGTATGAGCCCATGGGTTCAATCCCCAGCACTGCCAAGTAAATAAATGAAAACACAACTTTCATGGGGAATTCAGGCCATTGTGTCTGGGCCACTGAGTGAGCAGGCACACTACCTGAGGTGCTCTCTGCTCAACAAAGGGGACACGGCCTGAGAAATGTGTGTGTGTCCAGGGCAAGTGTGCCAGTGTGCAGGTGGCAGGGGGCAGTTACACACTGCACACCCAGGCTCTGTGCGCAGCCTGTTGCTTGTGGTCTGCAGACCTGCACAGCCCATTGCTGCGCCAGGTACTGTTGGCCACTGTAAGACAACAGGCTGTGTGTCTCTGAACATATCCGTGTGTACAAAAGACAGCAAAAATTCTAGGCAGTAGGGATTTTCCAGCCCCACATGAGCTCACAGGACCACTGCCATGCAGTGTTGTACAGTGGCCATCCTGGCTTCCCGCCAGTTTGTCTCACACACAGGTTCTGTTGTTGATGGAAATGGTGCGTGGCACGTGACTGTATGATGGGGAAAGGGCTCATGGCCCAAGGAAGTTCAGACAAAAGTTAGAAACTCTGCTGACCTCTTTACGTGTCCTCTTCCTCCAGAGCTGCTGTTAGAAAACACAGGTCTGTCTTGTCATTCTTCTAAAGAGCTTCCTATGATATCACAGAGCAATGCTTGGGGATGATTTCCTCCCCCTCCCCCCTCCCTCTCCCCTCCCTCTCCCTCTCCCTCTCCAAGGGGGAAAGGTTTATTTGGCTTACAGTTTGTGGAGGTTTCAGACGTTAATAGGCTGGCTCCAAGGGAGGGTGGTGTGGCAGATGGGCCTTCCAGAGGAGAAAAAGTGCATGGCAGCAAAAAGGTAGCAAAAGCAACAAGTTGAACTTTTCAAAAGACTGTTTTTCTGAGCCTTATTGCAGGTTTATGGCATTATAATTTAAAAGTTGTGTCGGACAAGGGGTCTCAGGTGTCTTCAAAGCTGCTGTAGTTAACGAGCTCTTTACTACGACCTGACTTTTTTTTTTTTAACTGTACATCCTTTTATTGGTACATTTTAGGTGTACAATATAATGACATTCACTATTGGAAATTTGCACCTTTACATAATCTCTCTTGGTTCTTATTTTTCCCCCTTCCCCTGCCCTCCCTTCAACCCCTCTATCCCTCCCTATTTACAAAGACTTTGTTTCCATTTTCTCATATTAGTTCCATTCCCTTCTTTCCCTACCCCTCCCACTTCCCTTTCCCCTTTG